AAGAAAATGAGCATTATTTGACGAATACAGTTAATATTTGTAAATAAGCATTGCAGTTTAAGCAGTGTGTCATAAGTAGATATGAGTATGATATAAAATTGGGTCACTTTGAGGTGCCATTGTGCATATTTATTTACATGGCATTATTATACAACTTGGGCGACTGATTTAGCAACGTCTCTACTAGCCGCATCTAGTGGGAGCATCCCGTACTACGCCTATGAACGGTCGCGCGCTTTCATACCAATTTTTTGGGTCCTCCCCTCGTATAACGCTCATTAATGACCAACCTTCATAAATTCAACACTTTTTTTTTTCATAACTACGTTACTAATTTTTCCCTTATTACGCCTAACTAGGCCATACGACTCTATTAATGAAAGAAAGAGAGCTTACGCATAGCTTTTTTGATCTTTCCAGTTGTTTCGCAAGCTTACGCCGCTAACGTGATGGATGAAAGCGTTCTCAAGGGCAACACCGCCATTTTCAAGTGTCACATTCCCAGCTTCGTAAGTGACTATGTCTACGTTACTTCCTGGTTACAAGACGACGGCCACGAAACAATAACTTCTGAGGGAACGTACGGTTCGTCCATGTTGGAAACAATGTTTTTGCTATTGATGTTCCCATAACCTTATGGACAATATGGACAATAATGTCCCGTTCTATACTGTTTAAAGATTTGGCAGAAGTTATATTTCATTTTGAAAATTGTAGATGTTCAAAAAAAAAAGAACCACATATGTTTACTTCCACACTTAAATGTCAGTCGAAATTGAGTAGCTCTATCAACAGTTTAACAAAATTATAACGATGCAGATGTTGCTGTTTTTTGCGTTAAAACACATCCTGCAGTTGAGTAACTTATCTACCCTAGTACCTTAGATTAACTCAACAGAAAAATAATCTCTTAAAACAACCAGCATATTCGTTTGTTTATAATAACCAATTTTGAATCCTATAACATATTTATTTATCTTCTTCACTAGATAATTAACATTCTAATAGCAACATATCAGAAATTAAGCCACACGAACAATCTGGTTCTCCAATTCTGCCTATTGGTATGGACTTTACAGCTATTGCACTTCTTCTTCTTTTTCTTCTTGGTCTTCTTCTTTCCATAGTTCCTCATAACAAAGAGGGCATCTTTAAAGCATGATGTTGAGTTGTAACTTCAACCCAACTTGTATTCCACACAGTGAAATCAATTTAGTGCTGTTTTTGTTTTTGAAACCGAGTGCCATCTACAATTTTTAAACTGAACTATGATAATACAAACTGAATCTTTATCCTATACCTAATCCTACGAATTTTCATCCAATTCCTGTTTTTCCTATGAATAAGAGTATTCGTAGATAATATTGTTAAAGTTTTGAAAGGAGTAAAGTAAAAGCAATTATTTTTGTCTTCGACGTATAACCTTTTTGATAGCTGCAGTAAATAATAATGTAAAGGTTTTAAAAGTATACACAATCTTCTAGTTTTGATTAACTGCTCCTAAATGATGACTATCGAATTTGATACAGATATCCAAGTAATACTCAACGAGTGGTAAATCTGGAGAATATGGTGGATGGAGAAGTTTCTATGACCTATTGTAACCAATATTTGATAAATACGTTTTTCATTTAACTACAATTCCTAAATTATTGTTATGATTGCAAAAGTATGAACCTGTGTTAGAACAAATTGACAATTCTCTTACGCGCAACTTTTCTTTCAGTTGTTTCTCAAGCATACAAGGCGAACGTGATGGAGGAAAGCGTGCTTAAAGGAAACACCGCCATTTTTAAGTGTCACATCCCGAGCTTTGTAAGCGATTACGTTATGGTTACATCCTGGTTGCAGGACGACGGCCATGATAGCGAAGAAATTACGATGGATCATGATTCTTACGGTTCGTTAATCAAATGTCAAAAAACTAGGATGTTTCCTTAATAATTATTGTCTTTCCTTCGATTTGTATAAACATATCTTGATTTTTGGAAACGGTATCATCAAAAATTAGTCCCAATTCTCAAAAAAAATTATCTACTTTAGTTCTGATGTTCATTTTGAGGAAAGGTTTCTACTATTTAGTCGGAAGATTTTGTTCCCATTAACTGTCAGCTCATTGCTTGGTTATAAAAAATCTTTATCTTTGAATGAATTGATTTTAAATGATATTTTTAAAAAGCAATGCTATTATTACATCGGTTATATAAGATGGCGATTGTTTAGAGTACAAGGAGAGACAGTAGTTGCAATAAAGATGGCACCGTACCTACTACTGTCCCTTTTATATGTTAATCTTAATTCCAGATATTACCTATTTCTGAGTACAATCATTTGTCCAATATTATTTTAAGGAAGCTTTTTTATAAATAATCTCCAATGTTTACTTTTCTCGTTGAAATGAAATCCTGACACATTTCTAATAATTTTATAACGCGTGGATTGGTTTACGAATAAACATTTTTGTGGAATTCAACATAAATGCTTCAATCCATTAAAAGTGTAAAAGTGCATTTTTAAAATTTTATGGATTACGATCGATATTAGGTCAATAACTCAAAGCAAGAGTAATTTTTGAAAGTTCATAGAATCCTATTATCAAATTATCTTTTTTTTATAGGCTGATAATAATAGAAAAGAATGTGGAAAGGATCGTCTTGATAAAAATTAACGAATTTGTTAAAAAAGGTTTACTAGTTGTTTGTATGTAAAACTTAACGCTTATTTTTACAGCTAACCGTTTTATATCATTAATCATTTTAATAATCAATAATATATAACTACGATTACAATACATTATCAATACATTTGTAACTGTCAATATGTTTATCGTTTCATTTTCTCTGGCATTTCTATAGTTGTCCCTTTAATAAAAGAAAGGTGTGGTATGCTTTAATTTGATATTTAATATCTACAAAATATTGGAAGTTAAAAATACATATTTGATAGATTATTATCCCTGTATTATTCTTCACAAGATTCACATTACATATATAGACAGTTATTATTAAAATACCTATCTAAGCTCTTTGTTGACGATATCCTTTATGCCACTATGGTATCATTACAGGTTTTTTTTAGGATAGTCAGTTGAATAATAGTGGGTTTTGTACGTTCCCCATTGTTATATTATCTTTCATTCGTAGATACCTTTTGAATAAAGCTTTATTGACATGTCTATTTGTGTATACAGTGTTGCCAAAAACATTAGAAATATTATCAATTAAAAAATTAATCAGTAATTACCTATACAGATTATCGAAAACAAAACTGTTTAATACTATTTATTTTATTTTTCAGATTTTTTTATTTCTTAAAATGTATAATTGGATACTGAAAATATCTCGTAGTATACGAAAGAACGAAACAAAACAAAATAGAGAGAAACATATTAAAAAAAAAAACTCAAATAGGGTTTTAAATTCTTTTCAATTTTTTGTTGAATATATTTTTTTAAATTATTATTAGATAAATTTACAATATTCGCAATGTAGCAATTGTAATCAAAAACAAATCTTGTTAGACATAAAAACAGTGGAAGAATTAAATTTTTTGCTCAGAAAATATTTGTTAATTTATTCTGTTTGTCTCAGAACGTGTACGTGTTCGTGTTCCAGCAGAAGAATTACGGAAAAATTAATATACCTATTAATTCTTATTTTAAATAAAAATTTACATTAATGTATTTAAAATACTACTGAATAATAATAAGAATAAATTTCCTACTTTGATTTTGCAATTTAAGTAAAAATATTGAGACTATTCATATAATATTTGCAAAATTTGTTAATGTATTATCATTTATTTGCCAGATTAAAATATATATTAGTGATACCATATTACTGATCTACGTCTACCTGACGATTACCCAGTTTTCCGGTTAGTTTCATGAAATGATAAGCTTTTGAATTGCAAAATCACAGTGTTGGACTTCTAAGAATAACATTTTTATTTCATAATATATTTTTTATTTAAATTGATTGCTCGGTTGATGAATTTTGATAGGCACAAATATCGGAAACGTATTGGAAAAAGGGTTTTGGTTAAATATTTAACCACCGGTTTTACTAGTCGATTGTATAGGTGCATCTTCTCTTGACTACACATACATTTTCTATTTCAAAAAATGTTGGTCTTATTTATTAACTTTTTTTGCATTATTTTTCTATTAGGCATTTTTTTTTTGGTTCGCGATTTTCACAAAAAGAAATGTACGGTAAACTAAAAGTTTGGACATCTGGAAATCCTTATACATCCTTTTTTCCTTCCTCAAACATTTACCACTCCTGTCTTAGTTCTTAGTAGTAAAAAATATTTAAAAATAATCTATTTATTCAATTCTATTAAATATAATAATGATGTTTGAAAAAAAATCTCTAAATGATTATTTTTGAATGTTAAACATGTTATGTAAACATGAAGAAAACTATAACACTGTTTTGATAAAGATAATTAGGAAAATATGATTTGAAAAACATTTACATACGTAGATAAATAATATAATTAAAATATATAAGTAGGTACCTACTTCATGTTTACATTGCATCTAAATGTAGTATATTATAAAGTAAATACAAAGTAGTAAGTGTTCAATTAAAAAAAAGCCTGTACCTACTTAATTAAAAATAATTTTTAGCAAATGTCCTTTACTACATTTTGTTTACTATTGTTTAATGATATTAAGAATATAAAACATAATATTAATCAAAGTTATACATTTTTTAAAACATATATATCGTCTAAAATATACAGGGTTTCCCAATAATATATCTACATTAAAAGAAGTAGTATACGTTTTAAAAACAGTTAGATTTGAAGAGAGGGTTCTGTAACTTAGCCTTGCACTTTTATGACCAGTAATATCTATGAATCCTTTGTTTCTTTCATATTTAAACTATAATTCCTTTTATTAAATGCACACTATTTTTTTTATAAAACAATATTGATTAATGTTATGTCTATCAACCAAAATCAATATTTTAATAAATCTTATGTACCCACAGACAGCAAATACTTGGTTCTTCCATCTGGAGAATTGCACATTAAGGACGTCGGACCTGAAGATGGATACAAATCGTATCAGTGTAGGACGAAACACAGATTGACCGGAGAAACAAGACTCAGTGCTACCAAAGGACGACTTGTCATAACTGGTGAGTGATGTTTGTGTTATTGGTGGAAGAAAAGTTCAAACATGCTATGTTAATTAAAATGTATTGTTATCTCGGTGATCGGAATGTACCAAATAAATATGAATTCTAACTCGTCTTTGCTTAAAAAATGCCTTTTGGTTTCGTTTTACACACTTTTTTTATTAATTTATAGCGTTATATGCACACATCTTTTTTTATGAAAGATTTAAGACATAGTTAAATGGCTCTCTTATCAAATATTTACATAACGGGTAAAAGAGTTATTTGTTTGAAGAAAGAAATAATTGCTTAAGAGTTATTGCTCCGCTTACAATCGCAAGAAATTTGTATAAATAATAGGCATTCTAGTTTACTTAATCCTAGAAAACACAATTTTAAAGATAATACCATCAATTTTTTATGTGCAAAGATAATAAGTGGCACTAGCCCTGGGTTAGCATACTTTTTTGAAAAAATGGCCCGTTTCGTCAAAAAAAAGGACAACTTTTAATAGAGAATTAACCAGTGGCGGCTTGTGAGCTGCGAAGGTGGGGGGGGGGGCGCCAATTGACTTGAGGATGGGGATTGAGAACGGTTGTTGAGATATATAACAAACTGTTAAACTTTTAAAATTCCCCCAAATTTGATTTAAATTCCTATTATTTGCTTTTAGGAATAATTGATCTGTGATTAAATTTGCCCTCAAGTCTAATACGGATGCGTATTAGTACGTCTAGCGCAAAAAGCATATCGCATCTGTATTTGGCGAGTCTCTCTAAAAATTTGAAAAATCACATCGATTTTGGAAAATTTGAGCCTTCGGGATATTTATATAAAGCGTAAAAACATTATTTTAGACATTTTGGCGTTAACATAGTATGTTTGGACTCAAAAACAGGAAGCCAATTCCAAACTAAATCTGAATTGAACATCGTTCTTTGTTTATTATTCTTATCGACTACTATTATTGTATCAGATCATTCACATCAATTCATTTCAGTATTTTTGCATTGGCTTCTTAATTATCATTCTGTAAACGATTTGACTACTCGAATTATTTCATTATTTCCCACACTAGTACGGCGTTTTATAATTTTAATACATATAAATGTTTATTCAATGCTTACTCGTTTTTTGCAGTACCGTATAATTTTTTATAAAACTATTTAAACTTTCTATAAATGGTATCAACGACCTATACACTTATAAAGCCAGTACACAAGGACACACTTTTTCTATTAATTTAAATAAACTGGTAGCTGTAGCTGTATTTAAAGCAAAATGTACAAACATAAATAAATGGTAGCAGTTCTGCATCAAATACTCATTAGACAATTTCTATATTTAATTTTTTAAAGCATTATTGCAGCACCCTGTATGCATTAAAATATTTTTTTCGAACTACATTTTTTTAAATAATTCGAGTAGACACAATTATTATAGTTCTGATTCATCTATGCTGTGCTCAAAAAAACGCTAATTCATTATCAATGTACTTAATTTATGCAGACATTTTGAGTATGGCAATAGACAATGAATAGGAACATTAATAATATTTACTACAGATTCATCAATGAATATATAATAGTAATTACAAAATCGCACATATTAATCTAATGATGTCTGATTTTAAATTATTATTGTCAACAGGACACACTGAAATAGACATATTTACAAACTAAATGATATTAAAATTATTTACTAGATTAACGTTGCGATTATTGATATATATTTTATTTAATGTTATTCAAAATAAACTATGATAAAAGATAGAATCTATCTTTAATCAAAGTTCTAAAATATACCTGAATGTTGGGATAGGGTACCCTTGCTTCTTGAACGGGCACTTTCAAAATTTTTGAGAAATTGAATATTGGACTTTTCCAAAACAAAAAAAAATTGACAATAGTACCTGTCCTCTTTTCCATTATCCAATTCCTTCACGCGAATTCTTTTACTTTCTCTAAGTAGGCTGGCATGACTTTTATGACATATTTCGTTTGGGTACCCTTGCCCAAGACCATGTTTTGGGCATAGGAAGTCTTCCTGTCGAGGTAAGTGTTCTTTATAAATATTTTCTTTGGATCATAATAATTAAAACTTCAATAAACAAAACCAGAAATAAGATTAATAGTATTTAAAAGCATACCGTACTTGTTCTCTGTTCATTTATTTTGTTCCATATGCCGATAGTTTTTTTTTAATATTGATTAGCAAAACAAACTTTTACCAGCTATGTTATGTTGGGTATGGGGTATTAATACACTACGACCTAAAAGATCGATTGTGTCCCCTTCAGTCGCGAAAGCATCGATGAAATAGTCACGTTGCCTTTAATGACTCTTCCAATCTTGTTTTCTCAAGAAGCTGTAGGCTTTGGAGTGGCTTCAAGTTAGGTAGTTCACCATCTTCTATTTGGTATGCTCCTATCCTAAGTATCACTAAGACAGCATAGTATGGGGACGCACTATCTTGCTGCAGCCACAAATCATTTCTGTTTGGAAACCACCGATTTAATATGGGTAGCAAGAAATTTTGAAGAAACATCGAGAACCTGTTAAGGTTTAATTAAAAAAGTATGGTCCTATAATCATTATCTATTATTCCTTCTGGACTAAAGATGAGAAAATAATATGACAAGAACTATTATTTCAAGGCAACAAAAAATGTCTCTGCTGGTTTAGTAGCCAAACTGCTACTATAAAGGGAAAATACTGGCAAACGAACTTCTCAAATTTATCAGCAGCAACCTTCAAACAAGGACAAGTTCATTTATTGCCACGGTGATTTTAAAGAACGATTGCAGGACATTTTGAACATGGTAAACCAAACTAGAAGTTGGATCCTTTTTTTAAATGTCAACACAGCATAACCGTGCCAGTTCGAAGAACAACTTATAAAACTCAAATTCAAATTCAAGAATGACTGCCAGGAATTTTGGTTTCAAAAGCCAATTCCGCAACTGTAACCTGGATTATGGTCGATTGTTCAACGATGTCGTAGTATTATAGATCTAACGCTAGCTAGCTCTAGCTTCTGAATTTTATCTTGTGACTTTCCTTTTATTTATTATTCACTAGTTCCAATTTAGTAACATCTTTTTTTAGTTTAATACCATATAATTTGTATTCATTTTATCCTCTCCTGTTTAAATGTATCCCTATTTTCATTTTTATTCTGCCTTCCTAACGGTTCCTTTTTGTAATTTAGAACCAATCGGTACCGTCGCTCCGAAACTCACATCAGGTGATGAAAGCAGAGTGGTATATACTAAACAACAGTCTACCTCAACTATGTTGTGTCCATCACAAGCATTCCCGATACCAAAATTCAGGTAAGACTGAATTGTATTTCTTTATTTACCAGAACCTGTTGGGAGCGTGGCGCCCAGATTGTCGGCCGGAAGTTCTAAAATCCAAACCATCGACTCCCGACATAAGATCAGCTTAACTTTGATGTGCCCAGCACAGTCCTTCCCTGTTCCAAGTTACAGGTACTTTTTGATTATTATTAACCTCTTTTTTAACTATGTTCATGTAATATATATTTCTTGTAGAACCAGTCGGTTTCGTAAAACCAAAGTTCCCTTCGTTGGACAAAAGTCACGCTTTTGAAACAATGGCATCTGGTAGTGTAACTGTAATGTGTCCTGCGCAAGCCTACCCGGTCCCTACGATAAGGTAATAACTTTAATCCTTTTTTAACAGAGCCTGTCAGTAGTACTTTGCCAAAAGTGTCTTCTAAATCTAAATACGATGTAGTTGACTACAAGATGAACACGACTTTAACTGTTCTTTGTCCTGCGCAAGGTTTTCCCGTTCCCAGATTTACGTAAGTTTCTTTAACATGTTATATTAGACACTTGTCCTTTGCTCACGGAAACTCCACCATTTGGTACACGTTGTCCAAATTTTCCCTGTTAACTGAAGTAACTCCTACATTAAGCTAAACATACTTTCGACTTATCTTCATGTAAAGAAGGGAATGTCAAACTTGTATTAGCTCTGAATAGGAATCTATATGTCTTTTAGCGATAGTGTTCTATATCCATATTCAAAGATAATGTTAAAAGAACCGTCCACAATTATTCTCATTTCGATATTTGAATTGTATTAACAGATATTTCCATTTAGTTATAAAAGTACTGTCATTAGCTTTTTGTTTGGCCCATACAGAATCTATTGTATAAGAGGACCAAGTCTAATATCAGATCTTAAAGGAATTACCATGGAAAAACGTTCTGAATACGGAATATCGTTGTTATGCCAAGCACAGGGTTTTTCAGTCCCATATTCAAAGATAAGGTTAAAGGAACCGTCCATAATTATTCTCATTTCGATATTTGAATTGTATTAACAGATATTTCCATTTAGTTATAAAAGTACTGTCATTAGCTTTTTGTTTGGCCCATACAGAACCTATTGGTACAAGAGGACCAAGTCTAATTTCAGATCTTAAAGGAATTACCATGGAAAAACGTTCTGAATACGGAATATCGTTGTTATGCCAAGCACAGGGTTTTCCAGTCCCAAATTTCAGGTAAATCTTATTAAACGTGGTTAATTTTTCTGTAGAACCGCTTGGTACGAGAGCACCAAATGTTGTGGACGATTTAAAATATAAAAGGACCGAAAAAGCAGCCGGGACTAACATACCGATTTTCTGTCAAGCTCAAGCGTATCCAGTCCCTTCATTCAGGTAAAATTGATTGGTCAATTTGTAGTGTAAACGCTTTTTGTGTTTGCTTTGCTTATAGAACCAGTTGGAACTAAAGCACCATCTTTTTCGAGCGATATTAAACTATTAGGGTATGCTAAAGAAAGGAACAGTACTGTATCAATGCTATGCCCTGCTCAAGGGTATCCTGCGCCTTCATTCAGGTAATTCTTTTCATTTACTAACTTTATAAATCCTCTAGAACCCATTGGCTTTAAAGTTCCTTCATTCTCGTCCTCGTCCAAAAGCTTTACGTATGAGACAAAGGGAGGTCAAGGGTTTGTGCTTTTGTGTCCAGCTCAAGCCTTGCCTGTACCAAAATTCAGGTAATTAGGAACTATTGAATACTAATTTATTTACCTTCTTTAGAACCAGTCGGTCTTAAAGCACCATCATTTTCTTCAACTTCGAAAATATTTTCATTTGACGCGAAAGGGGGGCAAGGATTTGTACTGCTATGCCCAGCTCAAGCTCTGCCCGTTCCCAACTTCAGGTAATTTTCTTTACTGTTTAGAACCTATTGGATATAAGGCCCCTTCATTGTCCAATGATGCAACTAGTATGTCTTATACACGTAGTATTGGACATGGTTTTGGTTTACTGTGCTTGGCTCAAGGGTATCCTTCGCCAACTTTCAGGTAGGACTATTTCTTTTATGACAATGCACTGCTTTTTTCTATGCTAGAACCTATTGGTTCCACACCACCTAGATTACCTCCGAAATCTAAGCTAGACGCTGTAACTGGTAATGCTAAGCAGAACTTAGTGCTACCCTGTGACGCCCAAGCTTCCCCTCTACCCAAATTCAGGTTAGTGTTTTGTTAGTAATTAATTTGAAATATTGAAATCAGAACCAATCGGATCTGCACCACCCAGACTACCTCGTAAACCTAAACTCGATGCCGTCATCGGCGATGTAACAAAAGATTTGGTTCTGTTGTGTGATGCCCAAGCAAGCCCGGTGCCCAAATTCAGGTTAGTTTTATGACCATTAAATTGTTTCCTTCTTTTTTTTGTTAGAACCCATTGGATCTAAGGCGCCAGCTTTCTCTTCGGAGTCAAAAATATTCACCTTGGAACGGCCCATTGGAAAAAGTCTAGCTTTATTGTGTCCAGCGCAAGCTTTACCCACCCCATCGTTCAAGTAAGGCGTTTTATACATTTCTTAATACGAATTTTATTCCTATAGAACCAATTGGATCCAGGGCTCCTACTTTTTCGTCAGAGTCTAAAGGATCTATATTTGTTAAACATGAAGGTCAAGGATTCGGTTTATTATGTCAAGCTCAGGGATTACCAACACCAAGTTTCAGGTACAGTTATTTATTTTGTAGCCAGGCTTATTCAAGTAGGGTATTCAGCTAACCAAAAACAATTATGGATATTATTAGAAGATGTGGTTTGTATATTGAGTTGAATTTGTTTTCATCTTGTACAGTTATTCAATCTGCACTTGATAAAAGCTCCATTTCCACTTGATCAACGAAAAAATGTTGGTAGAAAGCCATTTATAATCCCATCCACACCTTTTGCAGACTGAAGCATTCCGACTCAATATTTATTGATAGACATACTTTACTTTAATATTTCAAGAATTCCCTATAGCCAAGCATTCAGGTTTGCTTTCAAAAAATGCATAGCTTTTGTGTATTTTTTTCTGTAGAACCAATTGGTTCCAAGGCACCGACGTTTTCTTCAGATTCAAAAATATCAATGTTTGTTAGACATGTTGGTCAAGGCTTTGGTTTGCTATGCCAAGCTCAAGGATTACCGACTCCAACATTCAGGTATGCTCTTTATAAATGTATTTAGATTTATATAGGTACTAACTTCCTTTTTGTGTCCTTAATACCACCATTTCTTCTTAGAACCGATCGGTTCCAGGGCACCAACATTTTCATCGGAATCTAAGAGTTCCACTTTTGTTAAACAGGAAGGACACAGTTTCGGATTGTTATGCCAAGCTCAGGGTTTGCCCACCCCGACTTTCAGGTATGATTTTATAACGATTCTAATTTACTATTTTTAAAATCTATCCAGAACCAATAACTGGAGTAGCTCCGAAAGTTAAAGATATGGATGTAGCAAGTTTAAAGAAAGAACTTCCTTTAAAATCCTTAGTACCATTGGCATGTAATGCGCAAGGATATCCTTCGCCTTCATTCAGGTAATTAATTTGGCCAATTTTGAGTGTCGTGTTTGGTTTTCTAGAACCAACTGGAAAAATTGCACCCAAAGTACCCGGGCAGAAATACGATGGTGGAAAAATATATATTTATCAACAAAATACTACAGCTTTTGTGACATGCGACGTTGTAGGTTACCCTGTACCCATCTTCAGGTAAATTTTCTTCATAAAATAATTTATTTGGATTTCAGAACCGACCAATAATATTCCTCCAAAGCTTATCGATCAAAAGGTTCGATTCACGTTGATTATCGCAGATAGCGACAGTGATGTATTTATTATGTGTCCGGCCGTAGCTTACCCTGTACCAATGTTCAGGTAGGAGTTCGCCGTTTAATTTGTTTTTATTCGTTTTATTATAGAACCCACGAATAATGTCCCTCCAAAGAAAGTCGGTGCTGAATTTGGAGGGTGGAGAGTGGTTAATGTTAATTTAGGTGCGGTAGCTTGGCTGACGTGTCAAGTTACTGGATTTCCTGTTCCTAGATTTATGTAAGTACTGGAACGTAATGATCAAAATTGTAATTAGTAGAAGGTGAAACATTTGGTACACTTTCCCCGATCTTCCTCAAATCTGGGGAAATTTGTAGTAGATCTGACAACATTGCACCGTATTCAAATATTTTCAACTATTACTGAGAAGCCTGAAGTTGACAATCAGTATTTAATGACAAATATTCCATACAAAGAGTCGTATCTAATTAACCCTTATGGTGTTTTCCAGTTTCCAGTTTTTAAATTTGTTGACCTATGAACCCCCCTTCTTGCCCGTTGGTGGCCTTATTGAGAGGCGGTGTTGCCATTATTGTTTCTAATTAATTATCGGCCGTATTTACTATTAAAGCATGCGGTGCGGTGTTGTCTGCTCTACTCTATAAATGTCTCCAGATCTAGGAAAAAATCCGGGAAAAGTATACCCAAGTGTATCCACCTACTGTAATTAAAAAATGTCTGCAGGTATCGGTAAGTAAATTCGATTCCTTTTTGACCAAGTTTGTTCCATCTCAATCTCTACTGGTACTATTGTCAAGTAAGTACTTGTTCGTAAACGCACCTTATACCAAATTTTATACCATTTACAGAACCAACAAGTAATGTACCGCCAAAGAAAATGGGAAAAAATTTCGTTGGTTGGGAGGAAATTTACATTCGTCGCAACGGTACCGCCTGGTTAACCTGTCAAGTAACCGGTTTCCCGGTACCACGTTATTTGTAAGTTTTTTGTAACTTAATTCTCTATTTTCTTCTGTAGAACCGACAAATAATGTTGCCCCCAAAAGGGACGGTGAAAAATTCGAAGGGTGGAAAGTTCTACTTATACCGCAAAGGAGTACTGCTTGGTTGACTTGTCAAGTTACTGGCTATCCCGTTCCCAGATATTTGTAAGTACCATTTGGTGGTACCAACTATGATAAATATAACATCTGTTTGGAAATGGCTTGTACGATATTATTTATGAAATTTGGTTTGAGGGGGCTTTATAATATAACCGATCTTCAACTAGTATTTACATTATTGTTAGATCTTTATTATTTAAAAAGTCAAAAGTCAAAAATTGATTGTTACATTTAGGTACAGGAAGTATTACATAAAGAATATTCAGAATTTCTTAAGAAATTTAAAAATGATAAAATCTACAGAGGATCTATTTAAAATAACAAAGTTTGTTATATTTTTCGGAAAAATGTAAGATCTGACAACAACGTAGATACCAATTGAAAATTGACCGTATTACACAACCCCCAAAAAAACAAATTTCATAAATATCGTAAAAGTCGTTTCCGAAATAATTGGAGCGTTCCATAAATTAGCCTCACTCCGTATAATAGTTTTGAAACTATTCCAACATTTGGTAAAATTGTGTAGTTTGCAGTTTAGTAGTTTGTATTAAAAATTTATAGAACCTACGAATAATGTTCCTCCCAAAAAGGAGTGGGAAAAATTCACTGGTTGGAAAGATAGTCTGATCGCTGAAAGGCAAACGGCGTGGTTGACTTGCCAAGTTTCGGGTTACCCTGTTCCGAGATTTTTGTAAGTACTAATATGTGAATTTTTTAAATTTTGAGTTAGATTATATATTTTTTAAAGCAGCCCCTATTTTTTTTTTTTTTCATTTTATCGAACAGTCCTTCATTTTTTTTGCGAAATACATCATCTACTATTTTCTCTGTTATGAATTGTTTATTAATAAAGGAAGCATTATCCCAACTTCAGTTATTTTTTCGAGTTTTGTATCGATATTCAATTTCTAGAACCAACTAACAACGTCTCTCCTAAAAAGGATGGCGAAAAGTTTACTGGTTGGAAAGATATTTTGATTCCTCGAACGCAAACGGCTTGGTTGACCTGCCAAGTGTCTGGTTATCCAGTACCCAGATTTTTGTAAGTAACCCAGTAGAATAGTATAGAAATTCATTAATTGCATGATTGGGACATCAAAAAATTAAAAGGTAAGTTAGTAGTAAATGTACTTTTAAGTGTGTTTAATGCTGTAGAGTTTTGAAGAAATATTAAGTAACCTACGAAAAATATATTTTCTTTCAGAACCTTCCAATAATATTTCTCCAAAGCTCATTGGGGATAGAACTTTGGGGAAGATATTGTCATATTCTCAAAGAAGTGACGTTGCTCTAATATGTCCCGTAGTGGGTTCGCCGTATCCCAACTTCAAGTAAGTGTGACCATTTGGGTATAATTTCTGTTTGTTCTTTGTTTGAATAATGTCAAATATCTGACCAACAAGGATGCGTTAAACTGTTTTTTATACTATTAATTTAATTTGAAAACATCCTGTCAGTGTTGAAAATAAAATTAGGAAAATGCTCTATTATGCTATTTCTCGTATTATACCCACTTAAATTGGTCTTATTTAATAATGACATTGCTTTTCTTTGGGAAATATTTAATGAACGTAATTTTCTAGAACCCACTAGTAATGTAGCACCAAAATCTTCATCTGGAAGATATGGCAATATCTTTCTTTCGACGAAAATTAAAGAAGACGCCATCATTACTTGTGAGGTTACTGGTTACCCCGCACCAAAATTCAGGTACTTTTTTTATACTTATTCACGCTTTGTTACGATTTTCATTTAGAACCAACAAGCAATTTGGCTCCCAAAAACCAAGGTAAAAGAATCGATGGTAGCATCGTTCAGGAATATTCTTCAGGAGGTGATGCTCTTATTACTTGCGATGTTACTGGGTACCCTGTCCCTAGATACAAGTAGGTTTATACACGTTTTCTTATATTATTTGTAATGTAGAACCAACTGGACAAACTTCACCAAAATTGGCTGGAGATGGATTGACTAAATTGGTTGGACACAATGGGTCTGAGATTGCATTATTATGCGATGCTCAGGCTTTTCCTACGCCGAAAAAAAGGTAGTACATTTAAATATTAGTTGTTGGAATAGGAAGTAAAGTCGAAATGAAGAAAATAAAAATTATTACTAGAAACAATGTTTAACAGTTTTCTTCTTCATGCGAACGAAATGTATAAGAAGCAACGGTATTACTACTATTATCAAAGTGAGAATTTGTAAATTTTCGCCAATTGACTACATAAGTTCTTCTAACACACACAGCAATACAACCTTATGCTTTAGAATGACAGCATTGTGAATTTTTCCCCTCTTTCAATTTTAATTTCTATGCGCTCTTGATGACTGAACTATAGTAATCTGTCTTGAATTATTTCGTTTGAACACCTTTCCTATCCTTGTTTACTTGCCCTGACCTCGCCTATCAATTGTGCAGAAGACATAATGCTGAAAGGTATACAACTTTGTGGTTTAGGTTACCAGCCTTGTGAGTTTTGCTCTCTTTTCTTTTAATTTCATTGTGCTCCTGATGATTCAACTATTGTAAACTGACTTCAATTATTTCGTTCGTTTCCAGTCTTATTTACTTATGATGGTGGGTGAGGGTTTTCCGAGTTTTTTTCACCTGTAATTCAAATGTAAGTCGCCCCGAAACGCTAGGGCAAATAATAATAATAATAAAAGCCGTCCCTTCCCTGGTCAAGCTCAGTCGGCTTCTAGAGGTTAGGAGGTGAATTACAGGGAAAGTATTGTTATTTGATTATCCCCTGATCTCTTCTACCAGTGGTGTAGAGGACAATGTTTCTTAAGGTTTGTAGTATTGTTCTCTCTCATAACTAATTTTGTTCTTTTCCATTTATTTTTCGTCTTTTTGCATTCCACTTTTAATCTGACCTTCAAAGATCATCCATGTTCTTCATGTGTTGCAGTGTATTGTTCTCTTTCATATTTCATTTTGTTCTTATGTTCTTTCCCATTCATTACCATGTTTTGCTTCAATTCAAAACTACGATTGTTTGCTGCTCTTCATCAGTGTAAGATCTATTTCTTTTTCATCTTTTTGCATTCCACTTATGATCTGGGCCATCAGACACAATTCATGTCTTTCAATATTCCTTTATATGCTGCATTTAGTCATTTGGCGAAAAATATGTATGTTCAACGTGACAAAATGCAGAATGTGCGTTTAGCCAATAATATTTTGATATAATTATAGAACCAACCGGATCAGTCGGACCTCAACTGAATTCCAGAACCATAAACATAAAAATTATCGGATTGGGTTATTCAGCGGTAGCTCTTTGTCCAGCGCAAGCTTTCCCCGTACCGTTCTTTAGGTAAACCGCAGAAAATTGAAGAAAAGCAGTATGAAATTTAACCACCAATTCATTTATTTAAATATCTACAGATAAACTTCTCTTTGTTACAGGTGGTACAAGTTTACAGAAGGAACTAATCGTAAGCAGGCCGTAGTGTTGAATGACAGAGTGAAGCAGGTAGCAGGAACACTCATCATCCGTGAAGCCAAAGTTGAAGATTCTGGTAAATACCTGTGCGTCGTCAATAACTCCGTTGGTGGTGAAAGTGTAGAGACAGTTTTGACAGTAACCGCTCCTTTGAAGGCTAAAGTTGATCCACCTGTACAGACAATTGATTTTGGCAGGCCTGCTGTTTTCACTTGCAAATTTGAAGGTAATTACAAAGATTTAAATTAAAAATAGTCTCTAATATATTTAAATCTTTTCCAGGAAACCCGATCAAGACAATCAGCTGGCTAAAAGACGGCAACCCGATAGACCACAGCGATCCCGTCCTCAAAATCGAAGCAGTCCGCAAAGAAGACAAAGGAATGTACCAGTGCTTTATCAGGAACGATCAAGAGAACGCAGAAGCAACGGCAGAACTAAAACTAGGAGGTAGATTCGAACCGCCTCAGATCAGGCACGCTTTCAACGAAGAAACAGTCCAACCGGGCAATTCCGTCTTCATGAAATGCATAGCGTCTGGGAATCCCACGCCAGAAATCACCTGGGAGTTGTACGGAAGAAGATTAGCGAACAGTGATGTGTACCAAATCGGGCAGTATGTTACTGTGAACGGTGATGTTGTGTCTCATTTAAATATAAGTGCGATTCATACCAACGACGGCGGGTTATATAGGTGCGTTGCTAGCAGCAAAGTTGGTTCGGCAGATCATTCAGCAAGGATAAATGTGTATGGGCTACCATTCGTGAGGTCTATGGAAAAGCAGGCTATTGTTGCTGGAGGTACTCTAATTGTACACTGTCCATTCGCTGGGCATCCTGTAGAGGCTGTCGTTTGGGAACGAGGTAAATATTTTATCCGTAGCTCACTGCATTAATAAATTAATCAATTTTGATAGATGGAAGACTGCTGCCCATTAACAGAAAACAGAAGGTGTTTCCGAATGGTACTTTGATCATAGAAAATGTTGAAAGAGCATCAGACCAAGCCACTTACGTATGCGTAGCGAAAAATTCTCAGGGTTATAGCGCTAGAGGATCATTAGAAGTCCAAGTTATGGGTAAGCTATTTATAACAGATTATCATATACGGCGACGATAAAGGATTTGGCTTTGTGAAAAAGTAGGACTGCTTTCCTTCATAAAGGATTTTTTAGTATTTTATTATTATAAATCCGAGAACAATTATAATAAAAGTTTTTCATAAAAGTCATTAATTCTTTATTTAGCTGTGATACTGCCATAGAATGATTATAATAAATATTAACGCTACTTTAAATTGTAGTCTAAAATGTGTATCTTTTGAATTAAAATTGAAGACTATGTCAACGTTTTAAAATGTCCCCTCCTTTTTTCAAAATCTGAGGTTAAAACTCTATAGTTTCTTGCTTCAAATAAGAAAAAAGTCATAGGGAATCAAGGCGATGAATAGTTTGCAATTCGACAGATATGTTCTTTAAAATCATCAATTTAAAATGAAAAAACCTGTCACCTGTAACCTTATATTTCCAGTGGACTATTAAAATATTAATAAATATACAGAGTACATAATTGTCTTTAAATTTTTACTAGACATTAAAAATGATTTAATAAAAATACAATTATTATATTGATGACTTATTTTGAATCAAGACCATTCTTAATATAGTATATACACTAAAAATACAGTATTATTAAATTTAAAATTGTTTTTAATTAAGTTTTAAAACAATAATTGTTTTTTGTTCGATTTTATCTGCAACCATTATCATAATTTACAAATTTTTAATAATCATTCAACAACGATTTTTTTTTTCAAATTGTACCTGCATTTTTGGGAATTACTCTGAAAAAATTTCAAATTTAATTCAAAAGATGCATATTTTATGATATAAAATATCAAAAGAACAGTTTTTTTTTTATTATATTCTTATATTTGTATGTCAAATTTCTCATACATTTGGGTGGCTTTAATAAGAACTGCGTCGTCATTCTAGGACAAACGCTCGGGCCATTCAATTTTTGAAAGATACATCTTTCTGTCATACCCTCAACTGTCATTCCCCTATGACACTCTAACCTATACAATTTAAATTGGAAAAATACCAGGTCTGATACATTTCTTTTAATTCTGACGCCTTCTAAAGTGTGACACTTTATTTTAAAGCTAATTTAGTAATTTAATATAAGTTTGTAAAGTTATTATTTTACTGTTTCCATATATTCATTAACATAATAAAAACAGTGATTAAGTAGCATTTTTTATTGTCTCTTAAGAGTTTTTCTTCTTTTGACTGACCTTACGTTGCTATGTAGTTTTTCAATTTTATTAGAATTTTTGTTGAAAGTAAAAAATAGAATTGATAAATTGTTACTTGCCACTGCCACGCCACTGCCAAAGTGTATTTAACCTGAATTTTTTGCGGATAGGTTTATCTTATGATACCAAAAACGTATGACGAATTAAGTAAAATTATATTGAGTAATAAAAAAATTATAGTCATTAATTTATGAATTTTCAACTTTACCACTTTGTATTTCGAAAATTAGTAACATTTTACCTAAGCATGTTTCATTTATTTTAATAAGAGAATATTTAGTTGTTCTATAACCCATTCTTAATGAGACACCCTGTATATACTGTGCATTAAATTATTAATAAATCGTCGAATTCTCCATAAAATTACCTTTTCAATGTCATACTTGGTATTTTCCCTATATTTAAATTGTATTGGTTACAGGAGAGGAGAAAGATTTATTAAAAAATTAGGGTTCGAAAGTTTATGTTTTCGCCTGGTCATCCTGTATATAGTTTAATCCAAAATGATATTCTGCGGCAGTATATAATTTACAAAATTCAACTGATAAAAATAAATACTTAAATACATTATATTTGAGGTAAATCTAGATTTTTTATAAATAAATGTTTTAATAAAACTCTGATTTTAACATATTCAACATTTTATTTTAAATATTTGTTCTCAAAAAAAAAACACGAGAACCGAACGATAATCAAAATACCAAAGGGACACGGAACCTACTAATTTACAAAAAGCGACGTTGTCAGTTCTAAAAATTTTCAAAATTTTCGACGTACAGAAAAATCTAGATTTACCCAAAACTGTACCGTTACAAACCTCAAAAATTGTAACGACCATCTTGTTTTAATCAAAATTTCTTTCAGCTTTGATAAATTCTAACCAATAAAGGTAAGAACGATATGTGTGCGTCAAAATAGCGAATATCAATGCTTTCCATTACAGCCAGATCACATTAAACATCACAAACCGATATTTTATTTATTTTTTATCATACTTGGTCATAGCTTAAGGGAGGCCCATGTATCTACGGCGAACGTCCTCATCATTTTTTTAACGCTGTTTGCAGTGGCACCTGTAATAAGTCCCTTTCAATTCGACGGCCCCTTGAACGCTGGCGACAGCGCCATCTTGACGTGTTACGTTCCGCAGGGCGATCGTCCGTTGAAAATCAAATGGTTTCATAACAGCCATCACATAACGCACCATTCGAAAGGTATCTCGACTTCCGGCTTTGGAAGCCAGGCCAGCATTCTTAACATAAATTCCGTCGAACCACATCACAGAGGCCAATACGCTTGCGTAGTCACCAACGCAGCCGGCAAATCCAAATTCACTGCGAATCTCGACGTTAACGGTAGATCGGTTGATCCAATAGGGTACGGGCCAATTCAGCACTAAGTATAATAGCTCTCGGTAAAGACGAGGCGATTTAGCACCTCTTCAAACAAGTAATATAAGAAATTTTGTAGCGTCTCCTAACTCGTTTTGTAGCGTCCCCTAATTCGTTTTGTAGCGTCCCCTAACTCGTTTTGTAGCGTCCCCTAATTCGTTTTGTAGTATCCCTTAACTAGTTTTGTAGCGTTCCTTAATTCGTTTTGTAGCGTCCCCCAAATCGTTTTGTACCATTCTCAAATGTGTTTTGTAGGGCCCACAAGTATTTTTAGATTATCCTTTAATTCGCTTTGTAGCATCCCTTAAGGCGTTTTGTAACCCCCATAAGTATTTTTGTATTATCCTCTAAGTCTTTTTGTAGTGTCCCCTGAGATCAATTAGGTTCTAAAATTATTATTATTATTAAGTAATTCTTCTAAATTCTCTTTAAATTCATCCATTTAAGAAAGTTTGTATGTGTTGTTGAATTCGTGTAACTTTTTGGGTTGATACATTACCGGGGGGGTTAGAAAGTGCTGAATTGGCGTAAACCCGATCTAAAAACAGTATTATAGGTGTTTTATTTTTTACCTGTTTTGACCTCTACCCCAAGCCTGATTCTTTTGATTTTCAGGGTAAAGCGGTTGTGCTGAAACCGACCGATTTTTCTCCAAGGTTGGGTATTTTTAATCATGCATCCATTTTTTTGCACATGTACCTTTTTGCACCTATTTCGTCGAAAAATTGACGTGTCTGAAATTTCGATTATAATGAAAAAAGTAGTACCTTAATTATTTTATAAAAAACTACAATTTTTTTTTATAAAAATTGGCAATTTCGCACTAATTGGTTATTTACATTTCTTAAAAATTCGGCTCTATTATTAAATACGTCTTTATTCAATACCAAAGAAATTATTTATTAAATATAGCATCATGCATTATCAGAAAATAATTTTTAGTTCCACCCCAAATCCACCCTTTCGATTTTGGCGACGAACCTGTCAATTCGGGCGAAATTGTCGTGGTGATTTGTACAATTTCAAAAGGCGATTACCCGATAACTATATCTTGGATGTTAAACGGTCAAAACGTCAACACTATCGATGGGATCACAGCTACTAGCACTAACAAAAGAGTGAGCCAGCTTACAATAGAATCTGCTAGAGCTAGTCATACAGGAGAATACACTTGTACTGCTGAGAATTCGGCAGGAACTGCCAGTTTTTCTGCTTATTTGAACGTCAACGGTATTTAAAATTGATAGATGCTTTGTATCCAAATGCTGTTCACTTCATTAACCTATCCTTGTTAATATACATTCTAGTTAGTTGCTCCTACAATAAACCAGTTATTACTGTCTTTAACTAGTAATTTTTTGAGCCAGGTTCCCCTAGTTGTCATCGATTGGTTGAACTTGTCTGTCAATATGAAGTTAGAAGGATTCATTTTAGAATACACTCAATATCAAGATTGCCTTTAGACATCAATCGTGATTAAAATGTTTTTATTAACACTTTGCTTTTGGAATATATGATCTCTTGAAAAATAATTGCATACCAAAGTTATTATAAAAGATATTTGGTATTCCAGTTGCTCCTCAAATAGCTCCATTCGATTTTGGCGAAGAGTCCATAAATACTGGAGATTCAACTTCAGCTGCATGTTCGATTCACAAAGGAGATCTACCCATAAACGTTTATTGGCTACATAATAACATCAGTTTGGGTTACATGGACGGTATTCTGATTTCCAAAGTCGGGAAGAAACTTAACACCATTACAATAGAGTCTGTTCGTGATAAGCATGCTGGATTGTATACCTGTATTGCCGAAAATAAAGCAGGAATAGCTAAATTTTCTGCTAGATTAAATGTCAACGGTATACCTACATTTTGTTACTCAGAACCTTAACATTGTTTCTCATTTTTTTTAACACACCAACTGTCATTTAATCCTAACCTACAGAATATTATTTTGATCTTTAGTGGTGCCCCAAATAGCACCTTTCGATTTTGGTGACGATTCCATTAATACTGGCGATTCAACTTCTGCTACATGTTCGATTCATAAAGGAGATCTACCCATAAACATTTCTTGGCTACATAATAATGTCAGTTTAGGCTACATGGATGGTGTTTCTATAACTAAGGGTGGTAAAAAAGTCAGTACTGTTATCATCGATTCAGTACAAGCTATTCACGCCGGAGAGTACACCTGCATTGCTGAAAATAAAGCTGGTGTTGCAAAATTTTCATCTAGGATAAATGTTAATGGTATTTTTTTCGAGAGATTTATATTATCTGTTATTTTGTTTGTTTATGCACAATGACCTTCATCCCAAATTCCAAAATTCCCTATTTATAAAACCGAATATTATGTTGACATCCTC